GTGATTGCAGTTTGCTATGGTTCCTTCATTCCACTGTAGGTGGTCTCACCTTTCTCTCTGGCTGCTTTCAGAATTATTTTTGTCTTTAATGTTCTGTGTGTGTCCAGGCATTGATTTATTTTTACTTCTACTTGGAATCTATTCTGCTTCCTGAATCCTTTAAGTGTTATATTTCTACTGTTCTCTCTATTCCCTCCATCTGGAAGTCCAGATACGTGTTAAATTAGACCTTTTCCTTCCAGCATTATGACTGGTCTTTTTCTCATGTCCATCTCCTCTCTCAGATGACTATCCAGGGAGGTTCTGAGTCCTCATTTCACCATGACCATTCCTGGAGGATGCATAGAGGCATGAAATTTAAACATGCTGTCACCACCCCCATCTTCACCCTCCAGCATGCCCTGGTGTAAACGATCCAGTCCAGGAACCCCCATGGGGTGGAGTGGGGAAGAGACAGGACTACTTGGAATGGCAACTTTTAATGCTCCCCAGAAAAAGCATTGAGCAGTCATAGACAAAGACAGTGAATACGATTTTGTTATGAAGTTCACAAACCCCACTAATGTAACTGCCAAAACCGTGTGAGAGAAGCAGGCCCCACACGCTGATCACATGTAGTGCAAACCACCTCTGTGCTTGGAACTGATTTCTCTGTTTTTTATATGTGTACACTTTTGTTTAATGAGTTTAAACATTTAGTGAATCAACAATCATAGGCATGATTATAGTGAACTCCTTAGACATTTAAAATCTGCCTTTGTGTTTTAATTTTAGATGATGAGACAGGCTCCTCTGGACATGACTTTCTCTAAGAAGCCCTGGAGCTGTAACTTTTTGGAGCTGGCAATGGTCATGACATGTGACAGACCGGGTTACCTGCAATACTAAAGCAGGCTCCCACTGTCTCGGGACGCCTATGCCTGAGAGGGAGCACTCCACTGGGCAGCGCTCTGCGTATGGGGGAGCTGACATTCCAGGGCCCTTACAGGGTTCTGATAGAATAAGCTACACCCTTCCCTTTGCAAGAACCCCACAAGTACTGTCAGCACAGTGGAAAGAACTGTGGGGGATCCCTGAGCACCCACCAGGAGGAAGGCTGGCCTCGGCAAACCACCTCTTCAAAGGAAATAACATTAAAGCTGCTGTGGTCATAAATACATTTATTTCATTAAAAATGCTTAATTACAGTGCTGAGAGCATTTCCCCCTAGAAAAGTAGGTAAGCAATATTTCCATCAAAATGTTAGTTGTCTCTGCAAATACCTATTTTCATTTCACTGAACAGAGCACACAGCAAAAGGCTTCTGCTACTCCTTTTTTTTTTATAATTTTCTTTTTTTGTTATAAACACCATAGCAAATAAAAAAAAGCTGTTTAAACAGAGAAAAATATTGTAGTTCTTGATTTTCTGCGTGAACTTAACGCAATCCACACTGTGCTTCCCACTCTTTCTCTGGATACCAACAGTGGGACTCAAACGAAGGGGTCTTCTGGAGGGCTGGCGGCTGTTGTCATCTGTCATTTACTGGGATACTTTCCCCGGTGGATGAGGCTCCAGATGCACTTTAACAGAACATGTGCGGTCACCTCCATTCAAAGCCACGGGGCCGGGCGCGTGTACAACTGGGTGGTTGGCTGTAGCCGGCACTGAGAGCGGCGACGGCTCCACCTTGGGTCCTGTCATGGTCAAGCAGCCCTTCCCTACATCACTGGATCTGGATGGCTCCATGCTCAAGCTGCATTTCGGGCTGCAGGGTGGGCTGCAGGGTCTCGGCCGTCTGCAAGAGGGGAGAGAGGAGGGCTTTTCTATAAAAGTACCCACCAACTCAAGTCCAGGACACTCACCGGTCACAAAACACCAACTGTTTTCACACACAGAGCAAACACACAGCAGAGCTGAAAGGTCCGGCTCCTAAGTGCACCCCTGCTTTGAGTGATGACTCTCCCAAAACCTGAGCTGCTTCGCAGCAGCTCTGACGAATCCAGGTTGTGATCCCTCCTTGCGGGACCTCCTGCTTGCTCAGGTGCTGATTTCCTATTCCTACCCCCTGCTTATCACTGGGATATTCTTGAAGTGGTTAACACAATATATTTAAACTAATATATTTGCCTAGAATTTCAGTTATCATTTTGCCTTTTCTTATTAAAAACTGTTCCAATGTTCCAAAAAAGCATTTTAGGGACAGCTAGCTTTTCCCCTTAAAGACATAAGTTCTAAACAATGAGTCATAGATATTAAGACATTTTAAATGCATATTTAAAATGTTAAGATACATTAAAGGGAAAAATATAATCTTGGAATAAGTCACCAGTCGTCCATCTAAACCATGCAGAACTGGCTCCCAGATGAAGAGTTTGGGATTTTTAGGGTCCTCTAAGCTGCCTGTCAAAGGCAATGTCACAAAGATTAGACCCTCAAAGGCAGTCCCAGCTTCCCTGGCAGGAACTTTAGCTGGAGGGGCCCGGCATGGCAACTGAAAAGAGACAAAGAAAGCCACAGACTGGAAGGCAGAAGTCCCTGGGCATGGGGGCTGGCGCTACAACCCTTACTGCAGTTCAAGGCTGAGGTTTTGAAATACTATACAAATGGCATTTAACAGTGCTTCCTTGAAGCAGAGGCCTTCCAGTCTCAGACGAAGGACTCAGCACAGGCATCGCCCATGCTGTCTAAGAGCCCATAAAAAAGCAACAAAAAAGGGGCCAGATAACACAGACAAGATGGGGGTTTCCTCACACATTTCTGGACGAGGGAAAGTGGACTAGACAGAGCTGGTGTCTGCAGACAGGAGAGGAGCAACAAGCTGGGACAGTAAGCATACATCTCATTCTCTGCTCTGCTATCTGTCCTAAAGGAATGGATCTCGAGACCTGCCAGGTGTGAACAGAGACAAATATGATGCCAGGAAGCCAAGTGGCAAGCGGCTAAAATGGACACAGCTTTCCTCAACTCTGAAATCTGTAATGACGACAAACCTACAACATGCAAGATGACCCACCACAGAAGCCCCAGACCTGAAGAGCACACACCGTGCCAACCTCTGTGCCTGCCCAGCACAGGAGTGAACTGCCTTTAAACACGACCTTTCACAACAGTGTGGATATCAGACACCCTCACCTGGCGTGGGACGAGGTGGGTACACAGGGGAGGTTTCTTCTAGGACAGGTTTGTTCTTAAATCACAACAGAAAACTGGTCAGGGAGAATTCCTCTCCCCCCACACATACACCCCATCACCGGCTCCAGGCCATGCTTCATCCTGCCCCACAGTGGAAGGGCCTCTGGGGCCACTGCTCTGAGGAAGCCCAACACTACTCAGAGTGGGAAGAGCCTGGGCTGTGGGAGCGGCTGGAGGAGTCTAGTGGGGGGTGAGGCACACACCTTCTTTAGGACACCCCTTCCCAAACTCTGGGCCAACCGGGACCTCACGGTGAGTCAGGAGAATAAGAATTTAAGTCCTCAGGGACTGCTGAGTTCACTTAGCTGGCACCTGGTCACCAGGGTACCTTGGGCAACCTACTTGGTTCCATTCCTCAGCAACCACCACACAAGGCTGCAAGAAAACCAAATGAGAACTCCCTTTCCTCCCAGAACAATGGAGAGCACACGACACCTAGCACAGTGCAGAGCGGAGTACAGGAGGGAGGAAAGACCACCTGGAAATGCGAGGCTTTAATTCTGAATGTCAAAGGCTGACAGCACTGAGACACAAGAGGCTTAGCAAAAAGGAGAGGAGCAGACCCAACAAGGACAGCAGACCATGCAGAGGGCAGGGCAGGAGCCAATACCTAGCAGGCTAGAACAGACCATCCACAGGGTCCTGTGGGCAGGGAGCTCTGAGGCCTCCGCAGGCCAAGGCTGCCCAGATACATGCCCCCTGCCTTCCCATGGCCAAGCACCTGCATCACAATGGCAATTGTCTTATCTCAGCAGTAAAGTTAGTGATTTAACACCACGGCCTGTGAAGTCCGAGAATGCAGGCCACCAGCCTCTCTGTGCCTTTCACAGCACCAGCAGCCCCACTGCCCTCTCAGGACCAACCCTGTGGTCACCCTCATGAAATAGGAATATGCACTGACTTTAGAACTGGTTGTTCTAAACACAACCAATCAACCACACAGAACCACTCACCCTGTCCCGAAGGGGATCAGGCTGTCAGGCTATTCAAGCTCTCCCCACTAGAACAAGGGGGTGAGAGGCAGGCCAGGGTGGCCTCCAAACAGGGTACCTCTAGGGAGGCCACAATGCTTGCTACACTGAGCACACTCACCGTGGGACAGCTCCAAGAACACTTCAAATATCTAAAGAAGCGACTCTCTCATCTGACATTTCAAGAAGTGTCCAAATGGAGCGTGAAAGCCGGGTTTCCAGTGCTCCCAGGAAGCATGAATAAGGACAGCTTAAGCAGAGATCCAGCAAAACCACATGACAAGAGGTGTCCGTGGAAGCTCATCGGTGCTCAAACAGCCATGCCAAACAAGCACATAGCAAACACAGGTGGGCCTTACAAATGCAGAGTTCCCGCCACAGCCGTCAGACTGCTATGCTAAAAGTATAGTGTGGGAAGCTGGAAACCTGGCCAAATGGTGCCCCAGGATCAAGTGCAGATATCACAACCAGCCAGGCCATCCTACATTTCCACCCTAAAGCAGCAGGCTGCTCAGAGGCAAGTGCCCCAAAAACCTACCCCTGGGAAAAGGCGGAGGCTGCGTTAGCAGAAGTGCCAACCCCTGAGCCCTAGGCCGGGTGCTGGCCACACAGAGGAGCAGCAAGGTCTCAGGTCAACGGGAACTGATCACTTTCTAAGGATTGACCAGAATTTACTTTTTGCTTCTGAGTTTATAAACATTTGCACAAAAGAAAATAGCTCAAGAATCAGTTTAAGATTAGCACCTGGGTCAAGATCTAACTTCTCACCTTCCTCCCAGAAGAACGTCAAAAGTAGAAATAACCAAGCTGCGTTCATACCTACAGAAGACCCAGGACTTGTCCACAGAGACCTACCTGAGCTGCCGTGGTGTGGTCAGTCACAGGCGCCAGCTGGACGTACTGGACCTGGATGTCACTGCCCTGGAGAGGTGACCCATCCATGCCTGTGGCTGTGGGGTCTGAGGAGGCCACGGCTATCAGCTGGGCTCCCTGAAGCACCTGGAGGGACAAAGCAGACACCATTAGCACCATCACGGGTAAAAGGGCAGAGTGAAAGCCATGCATGCAGATTCCACGTGACCGCATGGACCAAGGACGACGACCTAGCACTGCACTCCACACTGTGGGGTCTGCCTGCTTGCAAATCATCTGGAGTAACGTGTGTGTGTGTGTGTGTGTGTGTGTGTGTGTGTGAGTGTGGTGAGCGCGTGTGAACGTATGTGTGTGTCAGGTTGTTCCACATCTGCAAGGGAACTCCCTCAAACATCCACATATCGGACAGAAAGATGGCTTTTTAAGCCTTATAGGAAGAAAGAAACCAGCTCATGTTTCTGAAGAGTGACAGTGGGATGTGGCCTAAGCATGCCTGAGGGCACTGGGATGGAAAGTTGGATATGGAGCAGGAGATAAAGCACATGAATTCCTTGGGAAATCACTGTTGCTCTAGGTCACAAGAGGGAGACATGGAGGGCAGGCAGGAGGGACAGGAAAGGCAGCATGTTCTCTACCGGCAGGGAGGACACATTCCTCAGCTTTTCCTGGGGCCCCTGGAGTATTTGAGAGACAGGGGAGATGAAGAAGTCCCCTCCCCGCCCCCCTCCCAAACTGACCATCGAGTTTAAGAAATAGCAGAAACATGGGTGTGAGTTACAACACCCAATGATCCAGATGGAGCCAAGAAGACCTCTGCATGAGGAGCGGCAGATGGGAGAGAAGACACTGGTAAAGGATAGCGGTAGAACTCCCGGGAGGAAGAGGGAGGGAGGAGACCAAGTTCCAGAGACAAATCACCAATCCACAGGCCCCCATGATAACCAGAGATAGCACCCTGGACTGTCCTGGAGATGGGGGCCTGGTGAGGGCCCAGAGACAAAGTCTAAGCAACCCTACTATTCATGAGCACCCCCACATGCAGGCCACCTCCAGCCCAGCCCACCTGGTGCTCTCGCAGCTGGAAGGTAGGCTGGTGCCTTTGGCCTCCAGAAGGTCAGGATGGGGAGGTGGGAAAGGAGATCTCTGAGGCTTTATATTCATGACAGTGAAATGCCATAGCTGTGAGGATTTTTACTTGGGCATTGAACCCCACTCCTCCTTCAAATTATATGCCTATGGTACCACCTCCCAGGGTCACTTGTGGGCCATCCACAGTGGGGCAACAATGACCACAATACCCAGCCAACCCACTACCTCCCTCAACAGCATAAGTGCTAAGGAAGAAGGTGTGGATCCACAGAGAGAAGAGGGATTGCCCACTCTGGGAAAGGCAGGCTCGGAGTCCTTATGAAAATAAGGTCTGTGGTTTTAAAATAGCATTCTAGTTTTTTTGTTTGTTTGTTTGTTTTTTGTTTGTTTTTACAAACAAGAGTTCTATTTCTTTTACAAGGAATTCATCAGTGGAAAAACAGGTAAATTACACTTTTAGAATAAAAGATGACAGAAGGTTGTTAACTATTTTTGTTTCTTCAGAAACCACAGTTCCACAATCTAACACCAGCCAGCCATGTTGGGAGGATACTGGCCCCAAAACGCACACCTCTCTCTCCCCGGACCCTCATGTGTGTGCCCTGGTACTCACAGAGGCACTCTACAGACAGGACTGAGCTGATCATTTCGAGATGGGGAGAATGTCCTTGAGTATCAGGTGGGCCCAATATCACATGGATATCTTGAAAGCAGAGACTTTTCCAGCTACAGAGTGGCAGAGGGATGCCACATATGAAGAATCACTGGCCATGGTTGGCTTGGAAGATGAGGAAGGGGCCATGAGTCAAGGACTGCGGAGCCTCTGGAAGCTGGAAAAGAAGCCTCTAGAGGAACCAGCTTTGCGACCCCTGTTTCAGCCCAGAATGACCATGTCGGACTTCTGCCCTCCAGTCTGTACAGCAGCCACAAGATATGCATACACTGCACTTGCCATTTTCGAAACTGCCTTCTTCGAGCACAGGGACTTGTTTCTGAGCTGACAACAATGGCTCTTTATTAAAACACTACTTTTTTCCATTATAAACTGTTTGCACTAAAGAGTTTTTGAAAGGTTAAAAAATAAAGTTGGAGAAAACTAGTCTCCTCTATTATTCACATTTTCTTTTCCTCAGCACTCATTCTTCTTCAGATCTTTCATGATCAGAAAACTGGGCACGGTTCTGTCCAGTTCCATAGCTTTGTGTCCCCATCACCAGGGAGGCTGCCATCCTATCCCCACACCCATGGTCCATAGAGCTGAGCAGTCAGAGGCAGCAGTTGGTATGGCCGCAGCTGGTGTGGTCACAGTCCAACTAAGGAGCCAGCTGTGCCTGGGAGCAGTCAGGGGACAGCAGAGCTTGGGGATATCCCTGAAGCACACCCACAACCCTCAGTTCTAAAGCTGAGAATCCGAGTCCCCTCTGCATGGCCCAGAGGGCCTCTGCTGGGCATCAGTCTCCTTGTGACTTGGGAAAGCATCGTTTTTTAAGAAAGGGCAACCTAGGTACTTTCAGCAAGCATATCTATATGCTCTCTACTCCACAAACTCCCAACATGTACAGTTCAAAGGACTCTAATCAAGAAAAACTAGCTGGGACCTGAAGAAAGGAAGACACGAAGCTGTTTAGTCATGGAAGTGTTTTAGGAGCCTCTGTCCATCAGAAGGTTCGGCAGTGGCTAGCTTGTGTTTCATCCCTTTGCCTCTTTTTTGAGGGGGCCACCAGTTCCTCCTGTCCACAGGTTGCTTCACCCTGGTCTGTAAGTCTGAAGTTAATGACTGTACCACTCTGTCTCAAGGCCTCTATGCCACCTTTCCTCGTTCCCCATCTTCACAACATTTCTCAAATTGTTAATTCTTTGCACTACTTAATGTATAGCTACGTTCTCAGGAATCTGGAGATTCCAAACCTCTAGCTCAGCAGTGGAGCCACTGCAGAAACACTAACGGACAATGTGGCATTAATTGGCCCCATGTCCCTCCAGACCTTATTTCAAGTCAAAGATAACACAATTGTGAGTGGGGGACCCGCAGGTTTGGAGCTTGGCACAGTTCTTGTGGCATCTGCGTCTGCATCTCTTAGTGAGCAGACTCACTCCTGGCTTACAGGCATCCGAGAACGTTTTATGAAGTAGTCCCATGTAGGAATGTCCATGCAATGTTCTTGCTTACCAGCCCTCATGTCCCCCCAGTGCAACACCTCATGTCTAATTGGCACAATCAAGAGTCATTTATTCCCAGTGGCAAAGATGAGGAAAAAGTAATGTGGGCAACAACATTCCACTCAGTGGAGGTGTGTGGTTCAGGTCAGAGGTTGTGCTGGGCAACAATGCTGTCCCACAACCGCTAGAACAAATCAAAATGGGGAAAAGACAAGAGGTAAGAGACCTGGTAGGAAATCCTCAAAACCACACAGCCGCCTGTCCCTTTTCATGGGTGAAAGTGAGAGACGGTACAGACTGTGATGCCATGCCTGCCCTAACTCAGCACTGATTTCTGGACTAAACTTTAAAAATCTAAGCAATGTTTTCAAATACTAAGCTAAAATGTTAGATATTTTAATATAATCACAGTTTATTTTAAAGACCCCTTAATAAGTGAATTTGAGGTCAAATCATATAACAATTTTTAAAAGAAACTTATGAAGTCATGGAACTCATTTCCAAAAAGGTTCTGCCTGTACTCTGGTTTTGGCGATGAGCCACTACCCTCTCTAAACGAAAGGCATTTTACGGTATCCTAAGATAGATTTTTCCCCTGTCAGCATTGCCAATAAAGGGACTTCTCATATGATCTACACAGCTGATTAAATCTTAAGAATTATAATGTCAGGAACCTCAGAATCTAATTGTACAGAATTATAATAGTGAAGATAGGCACATTACCAGCCTGGCTGGTAAATGAAAATAAAAATAGGATAATGTTCTCCATTGGGAATTCATTCAAAATGCTATGCTTTTTAAACATTTCCGCATTGGTTTGGTTTTGTTCAGTGATCAGAAATGAGTTAAACATTTAACATGCAAACTACTAGAGGAAAAGACCTTCCAGCCACTTAGTTATCATTCGACCCCTCCTCATACTCCAGACCCAGCAGAGAAACCTGCCCAGGGGACTTCGGCCACGTGAGGCCTCAACAGGAGCCCCGCTGCTCAGCTCCAACACCTTGACTCCGGCACTGGGAGAGCACCTAAGGCTGCCTCCTGCTCATCTCACCACAGCCCCATCTGTGGCACAAAGCTGGCCTAGATGAATTCCTACTCATTTCCCAAAATGAGCTTTCAGCTCCTTCTTCCTTCTTCCTGCTCATTTTCTGTTTGGCACCTTTTCCAAACAGGCTCTGAAATGTAGAAAGATCTAACTGGAATGCAGTGAGCTTCCAAGCCAGTAGCCAGAGGCAGCACCTCCTGGCTGCCAGCCACTGCGAGCCTACGGCTTCACTTAGAGTGGAGCTCCCCAAAGGGCAGCACATCGTCTGTGAGGCGCTCAGGGGTGGGGGCCACACCCCAGCCTCATTCAGAGGGTTCTATATTTCTGAAGCACAGCCAATTATTTTCCAAAAGAAAAGTGGCCCAGGCACAGATATAAAGCAGCCTACTAAGGGGATCCTGGACCTAAGAGCACTGTTTTGTGGAGCACACACATCTGGTTTTCCTTTCTACATTGCTAATTCTGAAACTGTTTAATACCCAAACGAGATAATGCAAAACTGTTGCAGAACCAAAAATAAATGCAAGAAGAAGAAGAAGCCCAAGGACTTTTCAATAATATTCAGATATAGAATTCCCAATCCAACCAAGAATCCACCCAGATTAAAAAAGAAAAGAAGACCTAACACTTCTCCCCACCCTCAAAGAAACTCAAGAAAAACCTCTTAATGCACTTACAAGATCTGCTTATAACAGTTTAATTAAGTTTGTGGCCAGGAACTAGACCACTAATCCCAAGGCCTCCTAGAAACAAATCCCTTACTTGTTTTGTGTTTGTGTTTAAACTAGAGGCCCAGTGCATGAAATCCATGCATGGGGGGTGGGAGGAG